CTTTTTTCATTTTGATAGATATTGCAATAATATTGTTATTGTGAAAAATCTGACATTGTGACAGCCTCATTTAGGATCTGATGTTTTGGGGACAAAATATGCAGTTCTGACTGGGTCTTTGTCTTATTCACTCATTTCCACACAACATAGCTATGAAGGTATAAACAGGGCATAAGTAAAAAAGAACAACAAGAAATATCTTTAACATTACACAAATAGCAAATACAGGTGTCTTTGACATTATTCCTATGTTCTTATATTGCTCCAGCACTTTACAAATGTAAATATTACTGCCTGATTTGTTTAAAGGGTGGTGTATGCATTATTTTAATGCATACACCACTAGTTATATTATATATTAGTTATAAATCTGATCCCTAGGGCAAATTTGAGGAACAGTTTACCTAATTTTTCCGCTGTTGGGGATTGACATTGTTTGTTTTATTCTGCTATGTCCAAGACTTTGAGATTTTATTCACTCATCATCCTCTTAATGGCCACTACAAGTTAGTCTAACTATCTTGTTATGCACAATAGTGACACACACAGGCGTTTAACTGAATTCACAGTTTCACTTCCAGCCTTCTCAAAGCACAAAGTTCAGCTTCATTCTCTTCCTTTCTAGAAGGTTTTTACAATACAGTTCTGCATATTTTCCCACAAAGCTGCACATTTATCAAACATTTTTGATACATTAGTCGTGATCACTGAAATAGTCATACTCATTGTACGTTTATATCGATTAACATAAAGCACATGTACTCAAATCAGTTCTTATCAAAGCAAATACCGAACTTACACTCTGAACCTTCTTTCAAGCCATCATTACAGGTCACTGGATAATTACATAGATTTAAAAAAAAAAAAAAAACCTAATCATGTGATAACAGTAAAGAAAAAGATAATGAAAAAAAAAATGCAAACATACCTCAAAAGTATGTATTTATAACTGGAAACCAAGTTTGTGCATGGGACTTTTAGGATTTTTAGGGAAAGCCAAACATCACTTTACATGCATATGAGATCAGAATCAGTGGTTATGGAATTTCTTGCCCTCCCCTCATATGGTATACATACATAGGTTTTGGCTTTAATGTATATGTAGATACAGATATGTACATATTTAGTAAAAACCACTGACCTATTAAGCATTACATCAAAGGTCTAGCTAGTTAAATCTAACTTTAAGTTAAGCCTACATGGGCCTCATAGAGGCACTTACAACATACTGCCTGTTTCGTTTACTTAAACAATGGGTGCTTTGGAGGATTCTAGGTTATTTGCATTTGCCACAACTACTCGTTTCTCTTTTTACTAAACATATAGTCAGTCGATTCAGAGGCAATACAAACTGAATATAAACAAATGCAGTACTCTTGTAGTGTTAATGTTAGGATAAGGTTGTGTGAGGTGTGGTACTCCCCTCATTCGCTGTTAATCAGTTAAAGCATTCAAGCAAAACAATCCCCTGCAGACATTGTAAATGATGGATGGACATGTTCTTTTACTGTAACACAAATTTACATTCTACACAAAGTTGCATAACATCCGAAGTCAAAGCATCTGCAAACTATAACATCCACAATGGGGATGTTATAGATTGCGTAGACATTCTATGATAATACAGTACAGTAAGTGGGCACAAAAAAGGTTTAATGAGCACTGAGAAGCGATGTGAGCAAACCTTATAGTCCAAAAGATTTGCTTGTGTGGACTAAGAACATCTTTGAGCATGTGATCTAGACCAATCAGTGATTCATTTCACTTCACAAAAGACTTCTCTGTAGGATAAATTAATTGAAAAACCTATCCCAGAGTTTTCCTATCTTAACTGTACAAGTTCAGTTTGACATTTTACATCAAGTATCTATCAAAAATGCTTTCATTCACAGGAGAACTAAATCTCGGCATGCGGTTTCGGATATTTTCAGACAACACTAAAATGTTGTAATTTTCTGACATCATAATCATGAAGTGAATCAACCTAACGCTACTTTGGTCTGAAAATATATGCGATGGCCTTCAAAACCAGCAACGGATGAAGCCAGGCAAGCATTACTTCTTACAGTGCCTGAATGTCAAAATCTATCCTAACGCAGACACTAAAACATCATTCAAGCAAAACATTCAAGTGATGTCACAGCTTTCATGTAAACACTGCATATCTAGGTTCACAAATATAAGGGGTCTGGAAGCATGTGGATAGTAAGACTTCAAAACAAGTATGGAAATACTTTCCTTTTACAATTGTCTGTAAAAACTAGTTCTGAAGCATTTTGATTTTTTATTTTTTGCTCTCTTCAGTCTATGTTCCTGTTGGTTAAGAATCCTATGAACAATTTACAACATTGTATTATTTTAATAGTTATTTTAGACAACCAGTGGCATTAAAATGTCATTTCTTGCCATGAAATACACAGTATTCATGAAAAAAATACAAAATCATTAAAAAACTAAAGCGATTTAAAATGACAGCCTGGACATCAAAAAGTCTATATACTGGCTTGAAATAAAACAAGAAAAATGGCTCCTGTCATCTGAATAACTTTTGTACATTTACAGCTGGTATAGCTAAATCAATGATAATGAGGAGAGTGCCTGCTAAGTCTGTGCGTGTTTTAGATTAAAAATATATCTGTGTATTTACATATGTATGTGCACAGCATGTTTTCCAGCATTAACGTAATGTTGCATGTTTATTGCATTCGTGAATGTGTCACTATTTTTAAAACGGTTTTTTTTGTTTTGTTTTTTTTTTGCTTTTGATTGAGATTGCTGAAGGTAAAATTATAGCAACAGCCCACCTAAACATGATGGTTTATTTGAAATTATTAAAGAAAATGTCAAAAAAAAAAACCTTCAAAGCATAAATGGTGAGGAAGAAAGTAATTAGATTTAGAAAAAAGGAAGAGGCAAGTTTGATTAGGTGGTCCAAGGTTTTCATTGTATACTTGTTTTGTAATATTATCTGTTTCTGATGCCGAGACACAAGCTTCAAGAGTGAGCAAATTAACAATGATTGTTAGTAAAGTGCTTGCATTTGATTTGACTGTATAGTTAATTAAGTAGTAATCCATATCTGATATTGTACATTTGTTCTAATCTTCTTGTTTATAAATACTTTGCATTTAAATTTCTATAAAACGTTTTAGACCTACAAGTGCATATTTCATTTATATCACTGTCCTGATTATACTTCAAAGGCCAACTCAGTCATTTGCTACCATAAAACAGAAGATTTTGCTCCTTTGCCAAAGGCCATTTCAGAATAACCAGTTAGCATGTGTTGAGCCAAGCAGTCCCACTTATATGTAGATATTTGAATGGTAAAATTTCTCACATATCACCCTTCACTATAAGTTGTTATCAAAAAGCTTAAAAAAAAGACCTTGTGAATGTCTGCCTTACTGGTATAAAGATTTGGCTGACATGTGGGTAGATTTAAGGTTTAGATTTTGCTGTTATGTGGCGATTATATGATAGTGCATTTGAAGGAATATTACAATGCAATGCAAAATAATCCAGTGGAACAATAAAATAATTGGGGAAATAAATTAGCGTTACAGGGAAGTAAATATGGAAAGCAATAAAATCTGATTTTTTAAGCTATTTTTTCTTAAGTTAATCATAAGCTTTAATTTTTTTTCAAATCAGTTAAAGTGTCTAATGAAACAATACTTTTCTTTGTTAGTGAGTATTGGCTTATCTATATTAGACATCTAGAATAACAACAGTAGCAAGTGGATCAAGTGAATGTGCAAGCATCTAACAAAGGATTAGACAACGAGACAATGATCGTATGTATTGGCTCCTAACAGCAATACAATATAAGAACTATTATTTTCAAGAGACATGTTCACCCTCAGAATTAGATAGCTCTTTTGGTACAATAAAACACGTATTACTTTCATTTGTTTCTGATTTTGTTGACATCCCCTAACTTTGCTGTGTAAACTATCAGCATAAAGTGCCCAATGACGTCACAATAATGAAAATGAATTGAGTGTTAATTGAGACTTACATAGGATAAGTTTTTTTTTTCAACATTGTGGAATGCTTACGCGGCGCTGTGTTCACTCGCTATATATTTATTATATTATCTATATATTTTTCTTTGTCTTTGGCTAAATAAACTAAATTACACAATATGGACAAAAGTACTAAGCCACTTACGTATAACACTTACTGGAGCTGCTTGACTATGACTTGACCATTTTTGTCCTGATGTTAATACCAGAGGAGCTTTGGAGGTTATTGACCTTTATGTGTGACCCTGCTTTGTGGCCACATTACAACAAAACAACTTACAGTTGATTATGGACTATCTTGGAGGGAAGACCTTTCACTGACTGACTTATTGCAATGGTGGCATCCAATTACAGTATAACAGTTACATGTTTTAGAAGTGGAAAAAGTCTGTTGAATGAGAGCCGAAATGTCTTAAAAACTGTTTAAAAAATGTGAAGGATTTTATCCAGCTGTGGCAATGGCACAGCTGAAACACCTGAATTCAAAGATTAAGAGATGTGGCTCAGTAATTTTGTTCATATCATGTATCTTGCTCCATGATTATTTCACTGTATGAGTGTTAGGAGTCTAAGTTAGTTTGGTCCAGAATTCGCAAAAATATTCATCTGAAAATGTAACTGAGCACATTTTTATAACACCTTCTTGATGCATGGCACTATTTTATTCACTAAGCAGCCCCAATCAGTTTTACATTACTTGTAATTATTTAAATAACCACGTATCTTTAAAGCTAAATTTTGCATTTAACTCCACCTAACATGCTTCATAAACCATTTGATTCACAAGACAAGATCTCATTCTTTCTACATTCGAGTTCATTGTATGTTATTGCTATTGTATTTGCATGGCGTACAATGCAAATGGAGGCTTCAACGTAATTGGTCCATGGCTAATCTGCTGCATCTCTTATCAGCCAATCATTAACACAATTTCTGCTACAAAATGGAGGGGATGGGGGAACGACAGCGCCGCAGAGGTCCTGGAGCCTCATAGGTCTCAAAAGGCGGGCTAGTAATAGGAGCGAGTCGCAGTGCTGACCCAGTCATTCCCGATATGTTATTAAGACTGCGAGATTTTTCATAGCCGGTTGCTTTAAGACAATCAATATAATAATAAATCAGTTTAATAAATTGTTTGTATTTTTTTTTATGTCATGTGCAAATAAATGGAAAGAAAATCAGTGAAATGTTTACAGATAATATGAAAAATTCCCATATGCAGAATGTTTTTTATGAAGGTTTCATAGTTTTGAAACATGAACATGAGGTTGAAGATGTTGAAAGTAGGAATTAAAAAAAGAACCACAAAAGTGAAGAGAAAAGAAAATGAAGGATATTTAATGAAAATCATAAAGACATATAAAGGACAGACAGACAGAGACAAGACAGACAAGACAAGAAAATGCGAGTTATGATATGCCTTTTTTTCCTCAAAAAACATAAACGCAAAAGATTTGTAGATATTAAAAAATTTAACAGCAATAAACAGGCCATTGCATAAATTACCCAACACCTTGTGCACGGTAACGTCCGATGTTCAGGTAATTTGGACAACTATTTGGCCAAAACCGCAGTTTACACAACAGCAAATACTCTGATATCACTGATACATTGTAGTTGACCACATGAAGTTTATGTGGAATCATATCATGCTTTGTCAGCAGCCCATTTTGTATTTACTTGGTATAAACTTCAAATGGCCAAAACAAAAATGTCCTCTCAGCCACATTTAAATCACTTTGTACCCTCGGTAATCACATCCTGTTGTGAGTGACTACTGAGTCACTTTCTATTTTGATTACAGTGGGAAACAAAGAAGTTCATTTAAAACGCTTTCCAGCTACAAAAGGACCTTTAAATTATAATGCGTGACACTTTGCATTTAGCTTAACAAATAACCAATTCATCTAAGACTACGTTTCCTTTCCCACTGTATTTTTGGTCCAAAACACTTCATGCATACACTGAGCCCTTCTTGTAGGAAGCAGCCACAAACAAGGTTGTGTTGTGCTCACAGTGTTGTTGCATCAGCTGTAGTGAAAGGCCCCATTGTTAGATAGCAGCTATCTGCTCTAACAATGACTGACTGACTTATAGTGAGTGGAGTTTTATACATTTACTAGCAATATGCTCATGTTAGCTGAAATGAATGTAATGCTCTAACACTGTGATGCTGGAGCAGAGTTTGTGGTTTCTGTATACTTAAGTTATGCATGTAAATTTTTGTCAAACTCCATCCACCATAAGGCTGCGTCAGACAACAAAGAACAGCCACTGATCCAGTGTGACACCCTTTGTGTCTTCCTGTTGCAATGGAAAAATATGACAACATTCAGGGTCAAAGTGGCCGATTCTACCACTCTAGATAACCAACCTTAAATCAAAGTATTTCTTTTTTTTTTACTCAAACACTTTCGTCAGATGGTACCTCAGTGACATATTAATGATGCATATTTGCATCATTAATATGTCACTGTAATGGTCATCTTTGGCGTAACATACCACAAACACTTTTGAAAAGCTGCCTGGCAAATCTGGTGCTGCTTCATTCTCAAGTTAAGTTAGAGGAACGTTTTTCTCATACCACGCAAATGCATCAAGACAAACTGTCAGTTTACATCAAGTGGCAGCCATGTATAGAAAAACTGCTGACTGAGTACAAGACGGGAGGAGAAAAAATAAACAAACCTGGTATGTTGTTGGAACTGAACAACGCTTGATAGTGTGCTTTCAGAGTGAGAGTTGAAGATCAAAACTCAAACATCTCTGCTTATTTATTCTTAATATTGTTTAACAGTTAAAATAGTCAAATTGAAATAATCTGAAGGTGCCTTTCCTACAGCTAACAAGCAAAGATCTTTTTATGGCACAATGTATGCTTGAAATCAAACATGATTTTAAGTTTACTGTTCAGATTCACATGTAAGAAAAGATGTTTTCTTTTCTTTAAAAAGGGAAACAGAATAGTCATAATCGTGAAGATTTACAAAAACAGTAAAGGCTGAATATTAGACAACTTCTAATTTGGATTAATGCTCTGCATATCTGAAGATATGACGTATGATTTATGGGGGTTCACAAAAAATAATCCTTTATAAGAACTTTTAACAAAAGTCGATTCTTTGATTTTAGTCACAAATTCTTTTCAGTATTTTCTATATATTGTTAAAGATCACCATGCAGCATGCTAAGTGTTCCACTCTGCTCGCGTAATAGCTATGTTTTATATACACTCACTCACTTTATTAAGTACACCTTTTCAACTGTTAAATATGGCAAGCATCTAACTAGCCAACCACATGTCAGCAAATCAGTTTATTTAGGCTTTTAGGATATGGTTGTTGGTGCCAGTGACTTAGCACCAAGCTGGTCTGATTTCAGAAAGTGCTATACTGGGATTTTCCCACACAAACACCTCTAGAGTTTATGGAGAACAGTCCAAAACTGCAAAAATATCTATTGAGCTGCATGTCTCTGGGTGAAAATGCCTCGTTGATGCCAGAGGACAATGATCAGACTGCTTCAAGATGACAATAAACACTTGCTACAACTGAGGTATGCAGAAGAGCATCTCTGAAAGCTGATGTACTACAGTGGCAGAAGAATAAAACGGGTGCCATTCCTGTCAGCTAAGAACCGGAAACTGAGGATATGATTGCCACAGGCTCACTAAAACTGGACAACAGGGTACTGGAAAAACATTGTCTGACCTGAGTCTCGATTCCATTCGGATGATGGGGTCACAATTTGATGTAAACTGCATGAACCCATGAATGGTTCAAGCTGCTGGTTGTGTAATGGTGCTGGGGATATTTAGTTGTCCATCCCTTTATGAACATGGTCAGAAGTGTACCAATATTCTGATGGCTGCTTCCAGCAGGATAACGCAGGATGTCACAAATCTCAAATAATCTCAAAGTGGTTTCTTCAGCATCACAATGAGCACCTTCGGGATTTTGTAGAAAAGGAGATTTTCACCATGGATGTGCAAGAGAAATATCCAGCAACTGTGTTATCCTATCATAAAATCATCATCGTCATCATCAAAATCGACCAGCAAGGGGTCACACCCGGTATTAGCAAGATGTACCTAATAAAGTGGCCTGTGAGTGTATATTCAAATAAAGTTGGTAATGGTGGTCTTCTTAATTTCTGGCTTTAATATGATCTCACATTTAATAAACTGATTTCTTCAATCAAGCTTTTTAATGTGATTCGTAACACTTGCCGAATGGCATATCGGTAAAAATGGAAATTGAGAGACAGAAAAGCAGTTCCCATTTGTTGATTATATGAAAGGTGAAAGTGATAGAAAGCAATGAGATCAGGTGGTAACATGGTTGTGATGGTTGTTCAGCTGACATTAGTTTGCTTTTGTCACACACAGACTTTGTTTTAAAAAAATCCAAGAAGAAGAAATATTGTGAAATGAAAATAAAATAAGTTAATCATGTCTCGGCCACTGCAGTCTCTCACAGTCTGCTCTCCTCCTCTCTGGGCTATCTGCTGCATTTACAACAACAATCATCTGTGGTTTTGTGCTCTGGGATTCTCTATCAAGGGAAACGGTGAGTCTGGCTGTCACTGTATTCAGTGATGACATAATTCCTGCCCAAAGTCACACTTAATTTACACTATAGAGGGAATATGTACCTACCTAGAGTCAGACTTTAGTTACACTTGCACTGCAGTGGCGGCCTGGGGATGGGATGGAGAATGAGTGTTAATCACACAAGGAGAAGGCTATGTCGAGGGAAGACACAGAGGAACAGAGACAGCACTGCAAATATTGTTGCCAGAATGTTTACCAAGCACATAATCATGTGAAATTAAGACTGACTCAAAAAATAGCCTTAAAAACACACTGTACAGTACTGTATGCATGTGTGAAGGCAATAACCTGTTTTCAATCACTGTTTATAGCGTCATTGACTGTTTGATTCTTTTCTAAGAATGGCCACATACACACTGGTTCATTCTTACATGGTTTAAAGATCGTATGATCTCCTGTTACCAATAATGAAATGTACTGATTTGGTCATGACCATTACTGAAGCCACAATATGTGCATACACTACATACAGCTCCTACTATATCTTCTAGAGAAGATATAACATCCAGCTGTATCCTACATCCTCTAGTTTGTAGTATGTAGGTCAGACGTATGCAGTTCATGTCGAACCCAATTAATATTTTATGTCCATATATGTGAATATATGCTGTGCATACATGTGTACTGGTAAAAATCTGGCTCAGAGAGAATATTTGCAGAGTGTGATGGGGGGAACACAGTAAGACACACACAGTGGTACTGTTACAAATATCAGATCATGCATGGCAATGTAGAGTGAGTTTTACATACTGTGTCAACCGTAAAGAGAACACATGAGAGGACTGACAAGTGTTACCACATAAAAAACTTTCATACGGGTTATAGGAAAAGGCTTTTAGGAGTTACTTTTAGAGTTAGCGTGTCGCTCTGGTAATGACCTCGAGCACAGACAGAAACAACAGACAGGTCTGTGGTGGCTGGAAAAATATTTCTGCCAACAGTTAACTTTAATCTGTGTCAAAATTAACAATATAAAACAATGGAGTAAAAAAGCAGCAGATGAAATGTCAATGAAGAGCATTTTTTTCCCTGTAAACCTCAGCATCGTATCTGTTTAAAGTCTAGATAAATTATATACTTATCCTTCCATGAAAATGCTGCAGATTTACTGCACATAGTACGGATTTGCTAATAAGTATTAAAAACTCTAACACCAATTACCCAACACCTTGTGCACGGTAACGTCCGATGTTCAGGTAATTTGGACAACTATTTGGCCAAAAAGGCACAGTTTACACAACAGCAAATACTCTGATATCACTGATACATTGTAGTTGATTACATGAAGTTTAAGAAATCTTATACCACTAGTGAATTTATGTGGAATCATTAATTGCCTTGCATTATGCTTTGTCAGCAGCCCATTTTGTATTTACTTGGTATGAACTTCAAATGGCCAAAACAAAAATGTCCTCTCAGCCACATTTAAATCACTTTGTACCCTCGGTAATCACATCCTGTTGTGAGTGACTATTGAGTCACTTTCTATTTTGACCACAGTGGGAAATGTCACATTACAAAGAAGTTCGTTTTGAAACTCTTTCCAGCTACAAAAGGACCTTTAAATATATATATAT